ATCATGTTGTAAACATTAGAGATCAATTCTTATTAAATTAATCTTTGAAATAAATCAAGGATATCAGTTTCTCTATCACAGTTTCAATTATACAGGCTCGCAATATAGTATGTTACAGCACAACTAGCACTGGTTATAATTGCATGATAGATCAATGCTTGGCAGTCTGGTATCCCCAGATTAATCTTCGAAATAATACCTGGCCATATCAATTTCTCTATACATACAAGGTCACAATACAGTGATGGTAAAATAGACTTCAATATTACGTACTGTAAATTGATGTTATGCCCTTCCCAAATACAAGCATATAAATTTCTCCCATCATGAGTTGAATTATGTAATATAACATTCTCAATTACTATAGTATAGTGTATATTATATAAGTATATGCTTTTTCATTGAACAATCTTGATGTTTCAAAAATTGATTTAAAAAATATTTTTAATATATTAATCAATCAATATCAATCAAACTGGCAAACATATTATTTAATTTTTAAAGTAGATTAATTTACTATATAAACATCCAAGTTCACAATATAGAAAATAAAATTTGTCATGTAGTATTTTGCTAATGCACTTCACTGCAAAACAATTCTTGGCACTGACAGTACATTTGTGTTGTTTATAGTAGTTCTCTAAAAGTAAACCCCAACGGCATACTGGATCAATTTTCTTAATGATAGTGACAATTATATACACTAGTAGTGAAGTTCACAGCAGAACTGAATACATAATTACATTAATGGAGGGTATGTGCCTTTAGTAATTATCTCCCAACCTTGGCACATGTATTTTTGTTAATTTTGTTAGATTTTCTTCTGATGTTCAAATGGTTTCAACCAATATAGCTTTATAGTGTACGTTTGCCTTCATATTTTTTTAATGATAGCAAAAATTACAGTACAGTAATGAATTCACAACAGCACTGAAAACATAATTACATAATGATGGTTGGGTTTGTGCCTTTAGTAAACCTCTTACCTTGCTATGAGTAATCTTGTCAATTTTGTTAGATTTTTTTCTTAATGTTGTTTTAGACCATAATAGCTATAGACAAATTACTGTCATACTGTACAGCAGGGGTGGGCATGAAAATCGATCAGAAGGGAAAAATTAATTTTTGATTTAACACTGAGGAGCTTCCACCCGAACTTTGACACTAGATAAACCTTCATGCACTGCTTTTATACCACTTTATGTTCAGTTTTAATATTAATTTCTACAATAATCAGTGTCGGGCCGTCAAACCAAGCAGGTTGCACATTATTGGGTTTCCACAGGCGACCAAAAAACTGCCATCAGGCTGCTCACCCGTGTTGTGCTGTACAGTATGTCTGCCTTGATTAGCTCATCATTTCAGTATCTCTTATTAAAGATTGCTACTAAAATCAATACTGCTCGGTTATAGTATCTGACAAGTCATGCTTCTGTCTATTTACTTTTATGTAAAACTATTCCAACAATATCATGATGGGTAAATAATTTGCAGAAGCTTACATATACACTGTGGTGGTGCCAATGGGGTGAGGGAGGGAAAATTTCCGCATTGGACATCCATGGACCACATTGTCGGATGACACTTCAGACTCTTCGACAAGAAATGTGGCGAAAACAAGCCAAACCAAACCAGTCACTCATCGCAAAAATCGATCTTTAGTTATTAATACAGGGTTTAGCAGTAAAATGAGAGCTATAAAATGGTAAAAGAATCATTTAAATCTGACATTTCGTTATGAAGTTACAGGAGTTTAAACATACAGCTGTTTAAAGAAAAATATTTGAGAAATCAGAATTCAGAGTTTACGATTTCAGGCATTTCTTAAGTAGAAACCATCACCAAATCGTTAAAAATTGTTGTATTATCATTGAAAATGAGGAAAATAACAGCATAGCTTGCTGTATAGATATATAAGTGTTAGTTTAGTGCTATAAAATAGATTTCCAAAATTTTGACATTTCAGTATGTTTTGGCCATTACAGTATCTCCAAAACGAGTGCGACGAGCAACTGGTTTGGCTTGTCTTTGCCACAAATATTGATTTGCCAAACTAGCCAATATTATTTCTAGACAGGAGATATTAGGAACAAATGGTTCGGAACCCTGTGGAACTCTGGTCGGCAAACTAATTTAATAGTATAATTAGGCTGGCAGAAAAGCAACGTAAAAAAAAATAAAAGATGATAAATTTAAGTGAAAAGAGCAAGTACAAATGAGCAAATGAACAGAATTTAAATAATTAAATCTGAATCAAATGAATATGAAAATACAGTAGCTGATGAAAGGCACTCTCATGACAACAACAAAAAATTATTTGTTTTATGAAAGTTTTTAAACCACTTTTTGCCAATGACGATGATTTTAAAGATGATTACTTACAATGATGATGATATTTGAAGATTTATATGAAAATGATACTGACAACAATGGTGATAATGATTATAATGTTGGTGGTGATACCCATTTTGATGATGTGGATATGCTGACTGCTCATAATTATGGCAAATCTTGATGATGGCGACGATAAAGATGATAATAATAGTGATATAAATAAAGATGCTGTCTGATGACAATAATGATTAACATAATGATGAAAAAATGATGATGATGTTGATAATGATGGTAATGATGATAATGTTGATGATAATGATAGTGATGAAGTGATTGTGAAGGTGGTGATGATGAAGATGATGCTGAAAACCGTAAAAAAAAAATGTTGATGACATCATGGAGATGACAATGATTGGCGATGAAAACGATGAAAATGACAATGACAATAACTGATTTTCATCTTCAGTGTCTACATTTCTCCACCTCCAAATCTTGTGAAATCACAGCGCATGTTGTTTAATGAGTGGCATCAAGCATGTTGTTTATTCAGTGGCATCCAGTACTTTGTTCAATATGTATGAATCAATATTGTTTTAGTGTCAATTCACAACAAAAGCCATATTGTATGTTCTACTACTATTGATTGCACTGTGTAAATATAGCACTGTGATAATATCTCATTTATTGCCAATGTTTAATACAATCTGGATCAGTATTGGTAAACACAACAAAGTATTCTATAAGTGCTTAATAACTTATTATAAAGTAAATTATTAATACCGGTTTCAAACATTTATAATTATAAAATTTATAATTTAGTCACAGTAAATAAGATTACACCTGAACATAGTCTGACCCAATTTTGTTGACAAATTAATATTTATTGTTATCAACATTATTATTATAATTATTATATCATTATTACTATCATCATTAATAGAACTTCCAATTTTTTATGGTTGGTGCCACATATTTCTATTTTTAATCAAAATTGACTAATATTACAAATCAAGTTCATTAACATACAACATTTTTGGACCAATATGTTATAAGATATATAAAGAATAAACAAATAGCGAGGAATGTTAACAAAACCAACTAATCAAATTCATATTATTTCTCCGATTTTTTTTCCAGACTGTAGCTAACTACTTTCTTATATGCATATCATAACAAAATAATTTCAGGACTAGAATGCATTATTGTCGACTGTACAAATCTAAATTCAATAGCGAGTTATTTGCTATAAGTATTCTGAATATCTCTTGAGGATCCCACGTAATTCATCAAATTTGATCCATAATTCCCGGAACTTGAGGGTATCCCACGCACGCTATCAAATTCACTCCATAATTCCTACAACTCGTTTTACATGATGATGAGCTCAACATTCATACTGGCGCTAGAAATTGCTTTTAATACGTTGTCAGCCGACTACGAGCATGCTCTGTGGGAGGTGGGATACTATGACTGACATTTTGCATGCACTGCATGAATAAAGACACAAGTTATAACTTATGTCTTAGTCTCCTCTCTCATATTATTGTCTTTGTATGATATTATGAAGTGGAAATAAATGGTCATTAAACCACTCAGCCATCTGCGAATTTTCCTACGAGATAACTTGTAGGTGGCTTGTACATATTTGCACAAATTAGTAGTGCACTTCATTTTGATAGCAATCAATGATTAAAGTACTGTGATGAATGCTAATTGTTATACTGCAATATAACGATTATAATGTGTCATCTTTATTTTTTCAATTTCAAATTACAAGCATTTGATACTTTAATCACTTGACTGATCAATTAAGTTATTGATACATTGATAACTTCATTAAAGTAATCACAAATTTTCATCAGAATTAAGGAATTAATTATCAGGCAACTTTTACTGTCAGTGATAGCTTTTTAGCCATCCATCTATTTGCAATTGCCTGATCACAGTCTACTATATACTGCAATAATTAATGACAATGATAACAAGGAGCAATCCTTGTCTGTTCAAATTAATTGTTTAACAAAATGCTTTTTTTTTTGTTTTTTCCACCTTTACATAATAATATAATTAGTTTAGGCTGTTGTAAAGTAGTCCTGGGTAAGACAATAAACTGCATCTGGTCAAGCCATTGGCGACTAATCCTACAACCCCCTCCAGGAGCGGATGCAGAAGGGGTGCAGACGGTGTGATCGCACCCCCCTAAATTGTATTAAGAAAAATAATTGTTGTATTGTTGAAATATATTATTTTTATCATTAAAAATATAGTACAGGTAAGACTTCAAAAGTATGAGTGCAAATTCCAGGCAACTTGTGGTCCATATTCTAATAATTTTCGCACCTCAGCCCAACCATGGTGGGGCTGAGGTGGTGTAGATTCTCACGCACCCTCTACCGCCAAATCCTGCATCCGGGAGAGTGTTTTGGCCACACAGCAACAAGAAAAGCAATAGCTGAACAAAGGGTGGATGAGCTCCTTGGAGTTAATGGCCAACCATGTTTAGCTTAAGGAATAGACTTTGGTTTTTTGTTCAATTTCATAAATTATAACGGGATCCAGAATCTCCTTCACTTTTGTTTTTACATTGAATTTGACACGCAGCGCTATGAATCCTTTGGAAATAGCATGGTATTACTGATTAAAGATAGATATAGATAAATACTCACCTTGTATTCAGATTCCAATCTATTATGCTTTACTTTGTACTCTGGCAGGAACATAACCTCACTCTGGGGAATTGGCCAGGAAGTCTGTGATGCTTGGTAAGGATCCCGTAGTACTGATGCCTTCCGACAATGTCTTGTTGCTTTTGACCATGTTCGTTGGAATCCTTGCTCACTAACACTTTTAGGCATATAAGCTATCTGCAATGAGAAACAAGACAAACTCTGGTATGATTAATATACACTGGACAGCAAAAGGTCAATAGCAGTGAGCACAATAATAAACAAAATTATAAAAATATAGTAAAAATATAAACAATATAATTTATAAATAATAAAAACAACACCAATAACAAAAATCAAATCAAGTGTATATATTATTGTACAAGATGCCAATACACATTAACAACATCTATGTGCTGGTAGTGACCCTCCACTATAATGGTTTGGTTTGTAAAACCAAGTCTTTTTGGATAAGAACTGGCTTAAAAATGTGCACATTAAAAAGACTTAGTGCACCTTTAAGAGTATGGAGTTAACCCAGTGCTTTTGTTATTGTGGAAGGACATAGCAGTGAGTGCCTCTCAACAACAGCAGCTGTGATGCTTACTAACAACACCCCCCCTATTTAATACAGAACAATTTAATTTCTGATTTTACCTTGATGTTCAAAATATTTTTATATCTTTTTATATATTGTATTATATTGTAATTTTGTATTGTAAATATTGTATTTTTTTGCATTTAGGTGCATGGCCCCAGGGAAAAACAACCCTGCGTTGATCTGGGCCTCCGTGGATAAATAAAGTTGAACTTGAACTTGCAAGTTACACTTACCAACTACTTATCTAAGTTTAATAACTAATGATACCCTACAATATTGAGGATTTGTTCCTTCTTTGTACATCAGAATTAAAAAAAAACATTGTAGGTATTTTGTACTGGAATATGGCATTTGCCTGTGTAACACACTGAATTATGGTAATTAATTGATTGATATTAAATTAAGATTTTTCCATTTGTATTTTTTAGTTTTATGCCTATATTGAGGTACTCTAACACTGTTGGCAAGTACTTTCCAAGGCCTCTGAAAAATGAATAAAATACCAATCATACCCACTTATCTCTGGCCAATTTGCTGCCAAACAGACTATACCTTCTATAAACCTCATTCTTGAAATCAGTATTTGACATTTCGTACTGTATTAGATTCTTACCTAAAAAAAAGGTTAATTTTACTTTGATCATCAACCATTTTCTTATGTCATGTTGTCATTTCAAGTTGATAAATCAACTAAAGTTTTTATCCTCCTTCTACACTATGCGCTCCTTTAACTGACTGTGAGATTTATCCTTGGTAAAAAAGTAAATAGGTCCAGAAGATATGAAAACTATACAATATTTTTATCATTCACCATAACTGTATCATTATCGTTCTACTTTGACCACTAGTATCTATTAATTGTACATATTGTATGCATGACCCAGCCTTAAGTCTAAATTTTAAAAACGCAACACCAGGAGCGTAGGCTGGTTTTGGTCCGTGCCCCCTCCCCCTCTTAATTAATAATGTAATCTTATGGGGAATCACACCAACTCTTTATGCATCACTGCTACATGCTAGCCTTGATCTCTTTACTTTCACTGCAAACCAGTAAACATAGAGTCTGCCAAGCAGCTTGTTTAAATAACCATCCTCATATGTAATTAGTTTCTCTGTGTGTATTAAATGTTTCTTGTCTCTGATCCAAAACAATATGATTTGATTTGGATAAGCACCTGCACACAATAATTAATTTCTACCTCAACTCACAGCATTCAATTTACGACAATCAGTCGGAGAATGTTAAGTATGGTCTTGTCAATATCTACATAATTAGTGTTTGACTTTCCTCAAAATGTTCCATCAGCAAAAGGTTGCTGTGAGCTTTGGTTTTATCACAGCAATTAATTTTTCTACAGTACAAATAGGCAGTGGCGGCGCCAGCGGGGTGGCAAGCCTCCCCACCGGACAAGTCAAGTCCCCCGCCGGACAGAGCTCGTCGGGCAGTCAGACCATAAAACATAAAAATAGGCCCACACCAAGCCAACACATGTCTGTCACTGTCTGAGAGTGCCATTTCCGGCCATCTAGAGGTTGATATTCTTTAAAAAAATCTCATTTGGGAGGGGTACCCCCTCTCAACCCCTTCCTCCAGCTCGAGCCTACGAGCGCAAGTCCCCCCCTGTCGGACAACTTAGTGGGGAAATTTGACACCTGATAATTAACCTGGTTCACTAATAGCAAAAGACATAGACTACTCACATAGTATGTATTTTGTGACGTGTGCCGCTGTTAAAAAAGCGTTTTTCCAAATAAATATTATTATATTATGACTGTGACTGTTGTTTATGAAAAATGGATAAATTTAGGTGTGAAAGTTTGTCAGGCTAAATATATAAATTTGCTCATCAAAAACTTTGTGATTGCTAAAATTTTAAACCATCCTTAATTATTAATTTCATGAACCCCACCAGAGATTTTTATAATTCGAAGGGACTTGCATAAAAATATATAAAAACTGAATTTTTTATTTAACTACTGTATGAGGCTGCAAGAAATCTTTGGCTTCCAAAAACCTTCACTACACTCCTTTTATACCGCTTTATGCTCATTTTAATGAATTTGACAAATGTGACGTTTGGCCATAACAGATTTCAAGTGAAAGCCGGTAGCAGGCCGCACATGTATAAGGTTTAGTTTCTCGAGTTGCACTTTTTCCACCTGTGCTTTAGTAGCCCACTTGATTTGGACCCATTGATTTGGACACGGCTGTCGGCTAAGTTGAAACCCTTTGCTTTTGGAAATTTCTGAGCTACCACTGGGTTCAACAAGAACTTACAGCTATAATTTGCATCTTATTTGAATAATGAAAGACGAGAAATGGCAAAATACGAGCCTACTTACTGACATTTCACAGTTAAATATAGAACAATTACTCATGGTTAAGGTACAGTGAAAAAAAAAAGATGCACACCAACTATATTTTGAAAAGTATAAAGGAAAAAAAAAATAGCTCCGCATACAGTAGTACTACCAGTCTGTTGTTGTTTGCTGTGTATGTTTTGTTTAGCCTAGCTCAGTAGTATTAAAATTAGGCGGACCAACACAATTAAACTGTTGCTCTATGCTCACTCTAGTGAGCGGTCCATCTGAGCTGAGATTTTGAATGAAGGTTGTCGTATAGGTTTCTGTTTGGTCTTGACTCTTCTTACCTTTTGCCCTTCCTTGCCTGATTGTCGGTTTCCCATTGTATGGCATTTCACGGCCGTAGTAAACAACTGATCGTGTATGACACTTGTGTCTGTAACACTCCTGGAATGGAAGATGTTCTTTTACATTTGATTTTCTTTCGATAGCTGCACCATTCCCATTTCTGAAGTTCTCAGCTCAGTAGGTTAGCGACCAAGTACAAGCTCAAAAACACGGACCACCAGTCTCTGTCTGTTTTGAAATACCGCCCTCACCGTCAAGTTCCAACTTTTTCTTCACTCATTCATAAAAACATTGTGGCGCGGTGGAAGTCGACAAATTTACAGGCCTAGGCCCTATCTAGAATACCGCTTGAAAATCATGAATTTACGAAATAGATTGCAGTATTTGAAGCGTCTATGTACCGCCCATTTTGTGTCAAATGCCATTTTATGTGTGCTTTTCCTAGTACTAAGAACAGTTCGTCCGTTATGTACTATCGTTTTCCCGAGAACTGAACCAGAATGTAGCCTAGAATGGGTAAGTAGTTGTGTATTGCTTGTTTGTAAGCGGTTTTGGTTTGATTTGTGCGGCTATGAATGTGTCATTATCCCAGCTTAGCCTAGGCCTAGTAGGTAGTTAGTAAACATAGGCAAAGCATTTGTCGAGCCGTACATCATTCTGGGTACCATTTTTAGGCGTTAATGCACTTTAGTACTCCACTCTAACCCTAGCCTTAACAATAACATAGCAAGACTGCAGTTGAGGTTAAGGTTAGTGGAGTTCTAAAGTCCATTAGCGCCCTATTTTTATCCCTGCTAATCCATTACGAGTACTGTAATACAATATTTTAAAATAAATGGCCATTGCCAATCTTATATTCTTATCTTGTCCGCTGAGTGAGGCATCCAGCAGGAAGTGAATACAAATCATCTCCACAGGATGTGACATATTTAACACAAAAAGAAAGTTGTTATTCATTTAGTTTTCATGTTACATATAATGTAAGTTGGTTTGCTTCAAATAAAGTAATAATAATATTGTTTAAAAAAGTAATGAAATTACATCAATTGAATATTATGATGTAAGAATAAACATATTTTCATACAATTACAATGATTTTGCAATAAGATAATGAATCAGGGTGGATATAGGGAGCACAGGGGCTATCCCCTATACATATGGAAACGTTGTATCATTTGCTCTCCAAGGTCGCCTTAACCATTGGAGAAAACTGGATTTTTTTTCACAAAAGTACGTTTTTGGTACAAAATCTATGATTTTCTTGTAATGGCCCAAGCGGATTTTATTTATTTATTTATTGACACTTTACCTTTAGAACGCAAATGAAAAAAATCCCTACAGTTTTGTCGGAATACGCCGATTTATAACAGCTCCTCACGCCGATTTAGATAGGGAATTTCAAGAAATTTGAGGTTTTTGGCTGTTCCGAGCTCGTTTCTTACTCCCTCTCTCACAGACTATTTGTTTGTTCGAATTGGCCCAAGTGGATTTGTGGAGAGAATATAATAAGCTTGAAGCTGATATAAAACTTAGTATGATTGGTTGGGTAGTTTTATCGGAAAATAAGAAAATATAAAATCCATCCAATCCACGATTGCCTCTCATGGGGTCAAAAAATCTCTCAAGCGTGATAGTCCGATTCACTGATAGACGTCATACTTCTGCTTGCTTGACTTGTGTTCGCAGTGTTTGACTTCTTTCTTCGTGTAATTAGGCCTAATTTAGTTGTCAGTTGGATTTTTTGTGTGCTTTTATTACCTTTATTAAAAAACAAATGTCCCAAGACAAGATACTTGCAGCAATTAGGCTATATTTCTGCAAAAAATGCAATTTATAGTCTGGACCGTTTGAAAATTTCCGTAGGGGTGTACCGTAGGCTAAGCCAATCCTGCCAACACGAAAGTGTGGACTAGGGGAAGGGAGATCTCAGAATTTGTTCACTTTACATTGTTCTATGTGTACTGTTAAATATGTGTTCAAATACAAGTTTTAACAAAAGAATATTGACTGTGCAAATTGAGTTTTTTTTTAGTATTTAACCCCATAATGAAAATGAAACAAACCCAATGTTTTTAATTGGTCGATCCAAACTGCTTGTACAGCGGGGTTGATTTGACCTCAGTTCGCTGCTTTCGGAATAGCTGGACTAGCAAATGATAAAAAGTGACAAAAACGTTTCCATATGAAAAAAAAAAAGGGTGGGAATAAGAAAAGAAAGGAAAGGAGAAAAAGAGAAGCACGGTACAACAACAGAAATTTTAAATTTCAATGTAGGCCTACCAGTGTTTTGCTCATTTCAAAACAGAAATGTGGAACACCACAATCCCCCACAAACTTGGTGCTTCACATGTCACATGGCCTCCAACCTAGATTTTTCACTGGATACGCCCTTTGAAAAAAATACTGTAAAACTGCTTGCTCACCTGAGAAGTAGTAGTTTCTCATGTATTTCAGTATCTCAGGGATAATCTAAATGATGTTTGCATATTGTAATTTGTACAATATTAATTTTAAATTATATTTTCCATTTCTTTTCTTAGCGTGAGAGTAACATATTGTTATTTCTGCTGTGTGTTGTTGTGATCAAAAACAGGAAGTTTCCAGATGTTTTCCAGTTTACCAAAATCCTATTTTCTTTGTCAAAAGTTGCCAACTTTTTACTCTTTTTCTACTCTGATATACGGCTAGCTATACTTTACAGTGTACTGTGTTTGCGTAAGTTCTTTATTATAATTTCATTTGTCTTATAATTGCTTTCTGTCAATGTTATGAATAAAAGAAGTGTATGTGTGTGCATGTATGTGTGTATATATACTGTATGTA